TTCTGATGACTTGTCTTCAGAACCTGTAAATTCAATTTCCATACCTGCAAAAACTTCATTCTGCTTTGAATTTTCAGAGTCAAGCTTATCATCAAAACAAACACTGATTGATTCTTCCACAATCTGTGTTTCTGTATTGTATACTCTGTACCCTCTTGAGCGTTCAGAGTATCCTAACATAATACACTTCTGTGCTTTAGAGTCAAACTTGTTCAAATAATTTTTTGTATTTAATATAAAACAGGTACATCCAAATGGATGAAAATATGAAATGTTGGGCTTTCTGTTCTTCCACAATTCATAGGGAGTCTTTTCCAGAATAGGTCTTATTGAGATTCTATTCTGAATGTAGCACGCTGTGTTTATTGCCTCTGCCCAGAAGATCTTAGCAACGTTTGTCTCATTGATCATGGTTCTGGCCATTTCTTGCAATGTTCTGTTCTTTCGTTCTACAACTCCATTTTGTTGGGGAGTTCTAGGACAAGAGAAATCATGCAGAATGCCTCTGTCATTAAAGAATGACTCAAAATCTTTGTTTTCAAACTCTCCACCATGATCACTTCTGACTTTAACGATTCTAAGATCTTTTTCATTCTGAACTTGGTTACAGAAGGTAACAAACACATAGTGTGACTCATCCTTGTGTCTTAAGAACTTTACCCATGTCCATCTGATATAGTCATCTACGATTACTAACCCATACTTCTTGCCACTGACTGAAGCAGTTTTAACTGGTCCAAATAAGTCAATGTGCAGAAGTTCTAATGGCTTAGAGGTAGAAACAACATTTTTAGATTTGAAAGAAGGTTTTGCAAACTTGCCTTTTTGACATGCTTCACACAGAGCATCTGAATTGAACTTCAAATTAGGAAGTCCTCTGACCAGATTGAGTTTGTTAATCTGAGATATTCTTCTCATACTAACATGCCCCAATCTTCTGTGCCAGATCCACTGCTCGTTGTTAACAGACAGAAGACACTTTACATTCTGACTTTTCAGTTCAGAAATTTTAATTTTATAGATGTTGTTTTTCCTCTTTCCATTAAACAGGATAGTCCCATCTTTCTGACTAACAGCTTTACATGATTTTTGATTAAAGATTATATCATAACCGTTATCACTTAATTGACTTATGGATAACAGATTATGCATTAATCCATCTACTAGCAAAACATTATTAATAGAGGGAAGATTTCCATTACCTACAGTTCCAGAGCCAATTATCTTTCCCCTCTGATTGCCTCCAAAGCCAATGTGGCCTCCAGGCTTAAGTTCCAGGCTTTGGAACATATGCCTTCTTCCCGTCATGTGTCGCGAGCAGCCAGAGTCTAGGTACCATGACTGGTGTTTCTGATTTGCTGCTAAAGATATCTGCAACATGTATTATTTTATCCTTAGGTACCCAGATTTTCTTGGGTCCTGATTTGTTAGATTTACCAAAACTCTGGTTGAATTTTGGTTTCACAGAATACTTACTGCTAGTGTATTTAATATCATGTGTGTGACCATACACAAAATTTGAATTCAGAGGAGTGTGTTTAATGGTTAAATCCATGACATTCTTTGGTGTAGGAACCTTACCTAGGTATCCTATTCCCTTCCTGCCGTTTCTGCTAACTCCATAGATCATTGAAGCCATTTTGCTTCTATCTATGCTTTTAGCAAGGAACTTCTGGAAACTGTGATCATACTCCTTGATGATCTCATCAGCGCTGCTGGGAGTTTCAGAAATTGGTTCCTTCTGAGAGTTTTGTAAAGAATTTTCTAATTTTGAAATTTTATTTCTCAGCTCAGAATTTTCCAATTTAAGACTCTCAGTCTTATCAGAGTTAGATTCAAGATTCCTTTTCAGGTTTCTGAATTTAACTCTAATCTGCTGGTACCTTTCCAGAATTTCATTAAGGCTTTCAGCAAGTTCAGCCTTAGTAAAATTAATTGCAAAGTCAGGAAATACCTCTTCAGTATTTGATTCTGAGTCTGATTCAGAAGCTTCACTATCTTCTGAAATGTTGGCCATGAGAGCTATGTTTGCTCTCTCATCATCTGATTCTGAGTCAGCTTCAGACGAGTCAGAGTCATCCCATGTAGCCATGAGACTTTTCTTCTTTTCTCTTCCAAACTTCTTTTTGGGCTTTTCCCTCTAAAGCTTTGGGCAGTCACTCTTGTATTGTCCTTGCTCATTGCACTCATAGCAGATGATGTCCTTGGTGTTTGGCTTTCTGCTTCCTGAGGAGCCTTCAGATCTTCTGTATCCAGAGGAAGAATTTGTCCTTCTGTATCTGGAACAAGACTCGTTCTGATCAGATCTTCTAGGATTCCTGAACTTCCTTTGTCTCTGCTTCCACAGTTGATTCACTCTTCTGGAGAGGAGATAAAGTTCGTCTTCTTCTGATGAGGATCCATCAGATGTTTCTTCAACTGCCTGCAAAACTTTAGACTCAGATTTTTTGTTAGATTTTAATGCTAAAGGCTTACCTTGCTTCTGAGGTTCATCAGCTTCTAGCTCTATCTCATGACTTCTGAGGGAGCTGATAAGTTCCTCCAGAGAAATTTTGTTGAGATCTTTTGCAAGCTTCAGAGCTGTAACCATTGGTCTCCACTGCTTTGGTAAGCTTTTGATGATCTTCTTGACGTGATCAGCAGTAGAGTATCCTTTGTCCAGAACCTTGAGACCAGCCACCAGAATTTGGAATCTTGAGAACATTGTTTCAATGGATTCACTTTCTTCCATTTTGAATGCCTCATACTTCTGAATGAGCGCAAAAGCTTTAGTTTCTTTGACCTGAACGTTGCCTTCATGCGTCATTCTGAGTGAGTCAAACATGTTCTTTGTTGTGTCTCTGTTAGAGATCTTTTCATATTCACCGTAAGAGATGGCGCTGAGTAGGATGGTTCTGGCCTTGTGGTTATTCTTGAAGTCACACTTTTGTTGGTCAGACATTGCTTTCCTATCAATCTTCTGACCGTTTGCATTCACAGGGTGCGTGTATCCATCTGTCACCATGTCCCACAGATCAGCATCATGTGCCAGAAAGAAGCTTTCAATTCTGTCTTTCCAGTAGTCAAAATTTTCTCCATCAAAGACTGGAGGTTTGCCGATGAATCTGTCTCTGTCTTCATTGTTGTCATTGCTGGTGTGAGAATAAGTTCCTGCCATTGTGTTTTTCTGACGCTGGATCTTGTACTGACACGGTTAGGTGTTTTAGCTCAGAACCAGGCGCTCTGATGCCAATTGAAGAAGTGAAAAACACAAGAAGGGGGGTTGAATTGTAAAACTGAAAATCAATGCAATGAACATGATATTTTTATCCTTGTTCGTTTGATCTCAAACTACTCCAGTCCACCCGTCAAGGTGATTTCGCCTCTCTCCAACGAGGTCTTAATCCACTATATTCAACTGAATATTACAATCTGCTTTAGCAACTGCTAGAGCCTTCTTGAGTCAAACCACAAACCAGTTTCTCAAGGAATCACTTTCTTACAAGGAATTGAAATCTAGGTGTGTGAATGTTTTCTACAAAACTGTTTATCACAACTGTGATATTACACAACTTAAGCTTATGGAAACTAGATTGCTAAAATAATTGAGTAAGGAATTTTGGAGCTTTTAGCAAACTTGAGAGAAGAAAGATGATGATTAGCTTTTAGGCGTGTGAGTTGACGTAGAGCATTAGCCAATTCAATCTTCATTGTCTTGTTTATATAGCATTGAAATTGGTGAACATTGGAGCAATAATCTTGATTCAATGCCAATAACAAACTTTCCTTATTAAGCAGATCTTGTCTGGAATGATGTCGTTGGTAATAACTCGTCTTGAATGCACAGTACCGTTGCTACTTAAAGCGTGTTTTGGCTTTGGCTCATTCTAACGCTGCTTAAGTGCTGATGAACTATTGTTGTCTTTATCAGAGATCAGAGTGTTGGGCGCAGTTCTGTTCATCAAGCTTCAGCATAAGCGTGAGTTGTTCTTCTGATTCTGGTATTCTGATATAGTAACTTCTGATGTTGATGTTGATATCCAATTATCTGATGCTGATTAAGATGTACTCTTGCTGATACCCATCAGAGTTTCTGTAGAACAGAAAGTAATTTTTAGGTAGCAAATAGTTCTTTACATGAATCACATGATTAATATATCTTAGCATTTTGTTATCATCAAAACTTAAACTTAGGGTAGTAGATTCAAACTTTATTCTAACAGGGCAGGCCCAATACCTGCGCCTCTGTCTATGGCCTAATAACTTCAAGACTAAGTTAGATAGCCGTTAGGGATTTTCCCCGCGTGCCCATTAAGGAATATGGTCAACATTCACTTCAACCACCACTTGCCCTCCGAGAATAACGGATCCACTGCCCTTATATTTTTGGGGCATTTTACTAAGGAGGGGGCCACGTGTTGGACCCCATTACCCATGTAACCCTAGCAGTCCTTGTTATTGGGTCCAAATCACTTGCCCCAATACAAGGATCTTGGCCCAGCGTTGGGGGCTAGAAATACCCTCTCACATGAGAAGGTCAGGTACTCATTCATTCGTTTTACCTCACTTCTGTTACTTGCACTCTGATTATCTAGACTCTTACTTTGGCATCAGAGTATCTTGCAGATACCCCCCCCCCCCCTCCACTTCACATTCAACCGCTGCTCAACTTGATGTTCTTGGGCCTTGAAAATCCCTTCTGATCAGGTACGATCAGTAGGTGTTATAACTATAAGCCCAACTTTGTGTTCTACAATAATAAGTAGGTGTAATGTTCCAAGGCAATTGCTTCAGTTTCCAAAGTTCCAAAGTTCCAAGGCAATCGTCCAAGAGAGTTTTGAAACCAGAACCATCAACAACATTCCTACATTCTAGAATATCGACCGACAATTCGTTCATATCTCCAGTTTGAAGGTCCTTTCATTTTTAAATCCTCCATTTTGCATGTCTATAAAAGGTTGATTTCGATCATGTCTGACATTTTGTTGTTTGTTTGTAAATTCTACAGAACAATTTAAGAGATGGATCATGATGTAGCATGGAATAGAATACGTATTGATCAGTGTTACCTAAAGTTCGAAGAAGAGCGTCGAAGTGCTTCAGCGGTGAAGAAGAACCCAGTAACCGAAACGAGTGGTGGGTCTTCAAATCTGGTGAATGGTGGACAAATCGTAGAGCATAAAGATTTAAAAGAAAAATATGTTGTGGATGATAAACTGAAAGATGTGAAGCATGACATGCATGGTGTGGAACATAGTGAAGGACCCACAGAGTGTTTTGATGGTTTAAAAGAAAAAAAATGTCATCGGTTGAAGGACCTTCTATCATACTGATTTCCTCAAATAGTGAAGGGTAAGATTGTATAATCTTTGTAGTTTGTAGTTATTATTGCCTTTGTTTGTGTTAAAATTAATATGTTGTAACCACCATTATCTTTAGGAAGCATTATGAGAGAATTGTAACCATCACATTATAATGATTGTCTTTATTTAGATTTATGGTAGAGTTGTATCATTAAAATTGAGAGAACCAAAGAGTCTTCATCTTGATTAGCAACCTATTTGTATTCTCTATCAGTTTCATTCAAGCCTATATAAAGGCTTTGTAATGCTAAGATTAAAAGTAAGAAGTGTTTGGTGAATTAAAAAAAAAAGCAGAGTTTTTCAATGGTCATCCACCAGTAGAAGTATAGTATAAAAAGTGACAAAAAGTAGTTTTCTCTGCAGAATCCTGCAACACTATAAATTTTCACATACCACCTCTAGAATACCTCCAATAGAGTGGTATCAGAGTTGCAGATCCTTGCAGCTGCAGTAAAAATAACAACAGTTATGGCTTCCACAAACAACCCTTCCGTAACTTACATCAATGTCAAAGTTCCTCTATTTGAAGGAGAGAACTATGATTTTTGGACTGTTAAAATGGAGACTCTATTCACATCTTTGGATGTTCTAGAGTATGTCAAAAACGGCTATGAAGAACCGGCGGTGACAGAGGCTGAAAAATCAAAAGAAAAGGCTGAAGAATCAAGCCAACGACTTGAAGAATTGAAGAAGAAGAAGATCACAAATGATGTAGTTCTCGGGATGATTCAAAGAGGGGTCTCTCTATCCATCTTCCCAAGGATTGTGAGAGCTAAAACATCGAAAGAAGCCTGGAGTATCCTACAACAAGAGTTCGAAGGAGACTCAAAGGTGCGAACGGTGAAGCTTCAATCTCTTAAGAGAGATTATGAAAATTAAAGGATGAAGGAGAACGAGAGCCTGAATGAATACTTCAACAGACTCTCCGAGTTGGTGAATCAGATGAAGTCACATGGTGATACGATAGAAGATCGCAGAATTGTTGACAAAATTCTGATCAGTTTGACAGCAAGATTTGACCCAATGGTGGGGGTAATAGAAGAAACCAAGGATCAATTAACCTTGACTGTTCAAGGGTTGATGGGGTCTTTGAGATCCTACGAGCAAAGGATGTTACGACATTCTGAAAAATCAATCGAGAGTGCCTTTCAATCTAAACTCAACATTCAGCCCAACAATGGTGAAAATAAGCCCCAAATACAAACTAGAGGTGAGTCTTCTAGAGGTGGCAGATTTGGAAGAGGCAGAGGCAGAGGTCGAAACTCACGTGGCATATCTGGAAGAAGCGCAAATGGAGGAAGATGGAATGGAGCATCAAACAAATGGTGCAAAATTTGTAACAGCGGTACTCATGACGAGAAGGATTGTTGGAACAAAGGTAAACCGCAATGCCATAATTGCAAGAGATTCGAGCACCTTCAAAAGGATTGTCGTCTTGCAAATCAACAACATGCTTCGTACGCAGAAGGAGAATCTGATGAAGGAAATTTATTTTTTGCTTGTCAAAAAGCATTGCATGAAGAAGGTAAAAATGTATGGTATTTGGACAGCGGTTGTAGCAACCATATGACCGGACAGAAGGAAGCATTTATAAACATTGATTCTTCATTTGGCTCAAAAGTTAAATTGGGCAATGGAGAACATGTCGTAGTGAAAGGGAAAGGAAGCATTGGAGTCACCACAAAGCAAGGAAGCAAAGTCATACATGACACGCTCTATGTACCGGAACTAGACGAAAATTTGCTTAGCATTGGACAACTTCTGGAGCACGACTATTCTCTAAACTTTGAGAATAACGAGTGCAGAATTTTTGACTCAGAAAGAAGAAGTGTTGTCGTTGTGAAGATGACTAGCAACAGGAGCTTTCCACTATCTTTTAACTATAAGAAAAATGTAAGCATGATGGCCAGAGAAGAGAATGAATCGTGTTTATGGCACATGAGACTTAGGCATTTGAATTACGAAAGCCTCAAGTTACTCTATCAAAAGAAGATGGTGTATGGGCTGCCAAGAATCAAAGAAAAATCTGGTGTGTGCGAAGGTTGTGTGCTTGGAAAACACCACCGACAACCATTTCCAAAGGAAGGTGCATGGAGAGCTAAACAAGTGTTGGAACTTGTACACACAGATGTGTGTGGCCCTATGAATACTTTGTCTCATGGCAAAAATAGGTATTTTATCTTGTTTATTGACGACTTTACCCGCATGACTTGGGTATATTTCATGAGACAAAAATCTGAAGCATTTGTAATCTTTAAGAAATTTAAAGCATTAATCGAAAAACAAAGTGGCAGATTTATGAATATGCTGAGAAGTGATCGAGGGAAGGAGTACACCTCAAATGAATTTCATAAATTTTGTGAAGATGAAGGTGTTGAAAGACAGCTCACTGTTGGATATACACCTCAGCAAAATGGTGTATCTGAAAGAAAGAACCAAACCGTGATGGAGATGGCAAAGTCTATGCTACTTGAGAAAGGTTTGCCTAAAACCTTTTGGCCCGAGGCCGTTAACACTATTGTGTATTTGATGAACAGGTGTCCAACAAAGGCCGTGTGGAAAAAGACTCCATTTGAAGCCTGGAGTGGAAGAACACCGTCGGTGAACCATCTTAAAATGTTTGGGTGTGTTTGCTATGCTCAAATTCCTAAACAAAAGAGGGCAAAGCTAGAAGAAACAGGTGAAAGATGTGTCTTTATTGGCTATAGTTCCATGTCAAAGGGCTATAGACTTTACAACTTGAAGACAAACAAGGTGATCATTAGCCGGGATGTTATATTTGATGAGAACGCTTCTTGGAATTGGGAAGAAGACAAAACGAAGGAGAAAACAGTCCCTGCAATCATATTACAACAACAAAACCCAACAGCTGATAATGAGCAACCAACTCCATGTACACCAAGTTCCTCATCCTCTCCAAGTTCACAAATTTCAAGTTCATCATCTCCTAGCTCAACTCCAATAAAATTGAAGGACTTGAGTGATATTTATGCAAGATGCAACTATTGTGTTGTGGAACCAGAAAATTTTGATGAAGCAATCAAAGAAGATGCTTGGAGGAATGTGATGCAAGAAGAAATAAATGCCATTGAGAAAAACAAAACATGGCAGTTAGTTGAAAAGCCAAATGACAAAGAAGCTATTGGAGTAAAGTGGGTGTACAAATTGAAGCATAATCCAGATGAGTCAATTCAAAGAGCCAAGGCTAGATTGGTAGTAAAAGGCTATGCACAACAACCTGGAATTGACTATAGTGAAACTTTTGCCCCAGTTGCAAGATTGGATACTGTACAAACAGTTATTGCATTAGCAGCTCAGAAAGGGTGGAACCTGTACCAACTTGATGTGAAGTCAGCTTTCCTGAATGGAGAATTAAAAGAAGAGGTATATGTGCAGCAACCTCAAGGCTTTGTGACTAAAGGCCAAGAGGAAAAAGTTTACAAGTTGAAGAAAGCTCTCTATGGGTTGAAACAAGCCCCGAGAGCATGGTATAGTGAAATTGACAGCTACTTCATTCAACAAGGATTTGAAAGAAGTCAAAGTGAGCATACCTTGTATGTGAAGCATCAAGGTAAAGATGATATCCTTCTTGTTTCCCTTTATGTTGATGATTTGGTGTATACCGGTAACAACAAGAAAATGGTTGAAAATTTTAAAATAGAAATGATGAAAAAATATGAGATGAGTGATCTTGGCTTGCTGCATCATTTTCTTGGTATTGAGGTTTACCAAGATGAATATGGAGTTTTTATTTGTCAAAAGAGATATGCTGAAAATATTTTGAAAAAGTTTGGCATGAATGGCTGCAAACCTGTTGATATTCCTTTATTGGTGAATGAAAAATTAAAGAAGGAAGATGGTGGAAGATTAGTAGATGTAAGTATGTATAGAAGTTTGGTTGGAAGCTTGTTTTATCTTACAGCTTCAAGGCCCGATTTAATGTTTGCTGCTAGTTTACTCTCAAGGTTTATGAGTAAACTGAGTCACTTACACCTTGGAGCAGCAAAAAGAGTTCTAAGGTATGTCATGGGAACCATGGAACATGGAATCATGTTTGAAAAGAATTTTAAACTCGAAGTTAAAGGCTATTGTGACAGTGATTGGGCTGGAAGTGTTGATGACATGAAAAGCACTTCCGGTTATGTGTTCAGCCTGGGTTCAGAAGTAATTTCTTGGTGTTCGAAGAAACAAGATACTGTAGCGCAATCTTCAGCTGAAGCAGAATATTTGGCAGCTGGTTTGGCTACACAACAATCATTGTGGTTGAGAAGAATACTTGAAGATATCAGAGAAAAGCAAGAAGAAAGTCTGCTTCTTCACTGTGACAATAAATCAGCAATAGCCATGGCGAAGAATCTAGTTTTCCACAGTCGAACAAGACATATTAATATAAAGCACCACTTCATTCGAAGTGTGATCGAAGATGGTGATGTGCAGTTAGTGTTCTGCAATTCACAAGAGCAGCTTGCAGACATTTTTACTAAAGCACTACCAAGAGGAAGATTTCAGCAACTTAGAGAAGCAATGGGAGTTAAAGAGCAACACATTAAGGGGGAGTATTAAAATTAATGTGTTGTAACCACCACTATCTTTAGGAAGCATTATGAGAGAATTGTAACCATCACATTATAATGATTGTCTTTATTTAGATTTATGGTAGAGTTGTATCATTAAAATTGAGAGAACCAAAGAGTCCTCATCTTGATTAGCAACCTATTTGTATTCTCTATCAGTTTCATTCAAGCCTATATAAAGGCTTTGTAATGCTAAGATTAAAAGTAAGAAGTGTTTGGTGAATTAAAAAAAAAACAGAATTTTTCAATGGTCATCCACCAGTAGAAGTATAGTACAAAAAGTGACGAAAAGTAGTTTTCTATGCAGAATCCTGCAACATTATAGTTTTTCACATACCACCTCTAGAATACCGCCAACAGTTTGTATAAAAATAGTAATAGGTTTTATAAGATTTT